CCTTACTGCCAATTTGCCATGAGAAATAATGATGATGAACAGACAAATTAAAAACTGAAATGAACTCATCCTACGCTGACCTCGTCTCACCCACTACTGAATTCTACGGAAGATTGGTATAAACCAACTTCAATATACTCGATGAATGCCCATTTCAGCCGGTTGTACTCGAATCTAGGTCTAATATTCATTGTTCAGTATTCATAGCCATAGGTGACAGTGGCGATGGGCACTGATTTTAACACATACAGCTTAGTCATCAGACTTAGCTCTACTTTAATATACAGAACGCAGCTTTGGTGGAGACCAGTGCCAACCTGAAAGGCTTCGGCTTAATCCCATTTACTCTGACGCAGAACCTGCTGTCAGCATATAGTGATTGGATGGCCCGTAGCAACTGGCCATGGATCCCTCAATGTTCACAAGCATACCCACAGATTGTTGCGCGTGATCTGGTCATAAGTTCTTTCTAGGTAGCAAGGCATATTTATACTTCAGTGATTGAATCCCACATTTTCTCTATGGTCTTCAGTAAGGTGAAGATCTTGTCATAAGTGCTCATGTCAGTTCGCTGTTTACTGGATTAAATATTTGTTTTATAAAAGGCTATTGTATTCGATAAAATTTTATCCCAGTTCCTCATTCGCGGTCAGGAACGTTTTCTGGTACTCAGAATAGACCAGAAAAGCTTGTTTGATTTCAAGCAACTGCTCTTCTACCTTAGAGTCAGTTGTTGCACGGCATTTGCTTTCTAAAAGACTGACTTTTCCTGGGAGGCTCAGTAAGATAATATCTAATAGTTGGAGCAGTTGGTATATTCTTCCTTTTTTAGTAGGAGGTATTGCACTCCCCCCTCGTTTTCTAGTGAAGTTCAGATTTTCCAGTCCGCTGAAGTCCTCCCTATGTTAGCCACAAAATGCCTTGTTGGCCTAACGCTTGAAGCATTTCGCAGTGAACTTAGTTTATTCCAGCAACCTTGTCACTGTTCAAGCTTTTAACCTCTTCTGTGACTTAATCTACTGAAAGACAAATATCCGTTATTTGCCGTTGTTCCCCCGGGGGGAGCTCTTCCTGCGATTGCTCGAGTTTGAGGAGTTCCGCGAAGTACTCTCTCCATCGTCTGTTCGCATCTCTAGTATGAAGGCCACTAGACAAGTCTTTCAGGACTCTCAGACTATCTTTCTTTACATTTTCGAAGCGGTGGATTGACGGCCGCAATACAGTGTTTGCTGTTCGGAAATTCGACTCGAAACTCAACACTTCACTAAGATTTTCCCAGGAATCAGCGTTCGTTATTGTCACTGCTTTCATCGTCCCCTTGCGCACTTTTTCGTACTGCTTGCGAGTTGAAGACTGTTTGATTTGAAACCACACCTTGAATGTAGCCTTTTTCTCGATGACAGAGGGCTTAAGCTCTCGTATCCACAGCAAGTTCGTTTCTGACCTCCAGGCGGAAGACCAGCCCGCTTGTAAGCACAGCATTCGGCTGCAGCCCTGAAGAGCTTCCATTTCGCTTCCACATCCGTGGTCATCACCGGCATCTGTTGTAACCGCCGTGTAATGTTGTTTGCAAATTTCGCTTGTCGTGTCCACCGAAGACAATGTTTCCCATTTGATTGCTTCTGCTTCTGCCTCCGGATCTTCGTATGGTACTCCATTTCTTGCAGTGCAGCATGCCAACAACGAGGTTGTGATCGGTTGGTAGCTCTGCGCCTCTCTTAACTCGAACATCCATTATTTAGCGTTTTAAATCAAATGATA